CATTGCATTCTTATCTGGATTTAATTCTGGCATTTATACTCTCGAGATGGGGAAGATCACCATGACTAATTAATAATTGTTATATTCTATATATGTGAGTTTATTAGTTGTCTCTGAAGAAGGCTCAAAAATGAGTCGAAACATGTAAGCGCTTTAGTAAAATAAAGAAGTTTTACGCTACGATAGTCGTATTATTTGTGCAACGTCTCCCGTGCTTGACTCCTATTGCCCTTGTTCTTTCCTGGTTTTCTATCATTTAAATTACAATTTCAAATACTAGACAAATTGTAGAATATTATTATATTAATCTATGTATATACATACATAATTTTAATTTTTCTGTGGTGTTTACATAAGATTATATTCAACATTCAATAGTATTAAAAGACAATAGTATTAAAGAAAAGAATGGCAAATATCCTTTCCAAATATTGAGTCAGTCATTTAAAGATTCTAGCATGGGCAAATCAAAATAAATTTCCACGATTATATATGGAAGGTAAGAAATTAGCTCGATTACAGAACTCTCTCTTTTCGCAAGGATGGCTTGTCGAAGTTAGGAATGCAATTATTTATCATCGTCCCTGAGCGGCGGGGTACGAGATCGATCCTACGAAATTTCTGCTATCGGAGAACAGCTGCGGCACACTGGGAATCCGGAGACACGAAGTGGAACCGTCGAACCTGACTGACGGTTGCCCGGCGATTTGTAACGAGCCAGGCCATATGCACACTACGATGTGAGACGGTGGATCCGCACGTCGGACCTGAAGACAAATTACTTTGACGGCCAGGAACCGCAGCCCTCAGGCCAGTCGACATCAATATTGACAACTGGACTGGCTATCCATTCCTCTTAGGCACGTACACGTGTCCATTTTGCTACGAGAAATTGCGAAGTTCATAAAATTACTAGACAGAATATCGGAATAATTCTTTTATTTCAGAGCTTTCTTCTTTTATAGGTCAATTTAAATTTTTCAAAAGTCATAAAATCGAAGAGGACAGATTTTTTATGCAAATCGTTTTATATGATATTTCCACGAAGTAATGCTTCCAATTTCATAGCTGTAATTTTATTGTTGTATCTTCCTATATAGACATTAATAATATTTACAAATAAATATGTGTAAAAATAAATATGTACATATATGTATAAAAAAAACATATCTTGTTGATTAAATTAAGTTTTAATAATTAACGTGTAATAATAATAGTTTCTTGGTCTTTAAAAGAGAAAAAATTATTTCTATTTCTAAACTAAGTAGAAAAAAAGGATAACAAAATACTTTAGAGATTTCCACGGGTATTTTCTATGAACAAACTATGTGTTTCGTGGATCATCTTCATGTTTAGATCCATTGTTAAATGCCAACGTTTCGTAAATATTGCAGTTCACTTCATTAGATCAAGGAATAGCCTGATACTGGCACAGACTACTCCTCGCTCTAATGAAGTGAACTGCAATGTTCATGTATTTTAATGATGAATCTAGACACGCGGAGATGACCTGCGAAATGCATAGTTTCTTTATAAAAAGAAGAGATAACTCTTTTCGAGAGAGAGAGAGAGAGAGAGAGAGAGAGAGAGAGAGAGAGAGAGAGAGAGAGAGAGAACACTCTTTTGTAAAGTAGGTTTTTTCTAAAAATTATTGATTATTATATTTATTAACTTTTTATAATATTTGTAAAGATTAACTATATCTTACAATATAACAGACTTAAGAAAATTATTAAAAAGAACAATATTAAAACTAATAGATAAAATTATTTTAGAAACCGACTTTCACGTTTTCTATTTTATATGTTTTATCTATTTCTGATATTGAATCTAGTTGGAAAAAAGAAAGTTCAGAGAAAATGTTTGATTTTTGTAAAGCATTTCTTGCAAAAATTGGTAAATAGTGCGCGCGCGGTTGGCATTTTGCCCTAAAGTTTAATCATTGTACGATAATACTGTTGCAATAATTTGTGCGATACGCAGGTGCAGTAATAGCACGCACATCCCTCGTATTTCACGTCCCTTTGGTTTCCGCCAGACACAGGCCACCGACTATAGGTACTCCACACGATGCACAGTCTATTCGCATTATGTTCGCGTACCTTCGGACACAAAATTAACAGGAGCGAGAAACGGGGTGCATATTATTGGCATTAGAGATGTACATACTCATATCAAAATTAATTAAAATTATTAATATCGATGAAAATGATATTTATCAATATATCAAAGTTAACTCTTTTTGCTTATAATTAAATTATTATTTTGCAAGAAAGAAGAAATATATACATTTGTGTGTAATCACGCGGATGCAAACGTATAAGAGACCGTCCTAACCTGTCTCACAAAAATTTGTGGCACGACTGGCGCATAATTGGCCGCTCGGGCGACTTCTATAAAGGTTGATCCGGAATTACTTACATCGACAAAGTTCACATAAAGATTCTTTGATCGAGTTTTTCTTTCGCTATAAGAGTAAATTAAATTGAATGTTACGTTTTCTTATATCCTTTTATTTTTCAAAACTGTATCTATATAAGTATACCTTTTGATATAAATAAAAATTAAATTTACGTAAGAATTAAGTTTTTGATTATTTGCAATTAAAGGATTTTTCATAAAAACTAAATAAATCTATTTTTTAATCACTTCTTATTTATTTTTTTCGAATATTAGCTGCATCAAAATCATATTTATAATTAAAGAAATTTGTCATAAAGTTTATTCTGAATGCTTTCTCTGAATAAAATTTCCTCTTTATAATTTATATTTAAATTAAATATATATTTAATTAAAATGTCAGTATTACGTATATATGATTGTGTGTAATGTAATGACAAAGTATTCAAATACATATAAAACAGACCTTATGTATGCTTACGAAATTACACGCAGCCAATACTGATAAGTAACATCTGTAATTGCAAACAGTCAAATCTATTTACTGTAATATCGAATTGCTAATATTGATTGCAAGGTTTAGTTAAATTTTCATAAAGTCAATCGAAATCCGCTTGTATCGCACTAAAGTCATTTTAATAAATAGATTAAAGTTGATTCGACAAACATGGCGCTATTAGATAAACTTTTATTTTGAATATACATAAATATCTGTGTTAAAATATAATTACGTTGAGAAATTAATTACGTGTCTCCGGCAAGAGAGTGTCATCGGAACAGATAACAATTCCCATGCAACTTCGTATTTCTATCACGTTCTATTCATGCTCTTACAGAGAAGATATTAGCTTCGTATCTCTAACAACTACAGCCTCATTATTTAACACTTTCCTCATTAATAACGTCTTATTATCCAGTAATATCATCTTTATGAAACAGCCTTTGACTCGAAGTTGAAGCACGCAAATGTTTTTCCCAAGATATGCATAATAATTGCATCAATTTATGTAATTAATTATCTCTATGATTCTATATAGTGGAACTTCAAACTGAACGTTATATGTATAATATTTGAATTATCAAAATCACACGTACGTGTAAAATTGTAAATAATAATAATAATGTATCATAATTTTGTAAAGTAAAAATCGATATTATATTCACAAAGTGTTAAAATTCACGTGTATAATGGACCATTATATCGTACATAAAACCTAGCTTAAAATTTTGCATCAAGCTTAAGAACCTTTTAATGGATTTTCGATAATTCCACGTGCATATTAATTATGCAGAAATGCAACCAAAATTTTGCATAGGTTGTATTATGGGACTTTTTAGGATAATATGTAAAATGACCTAAGATATGTAAAATCAATATACTTTCATAAAGAGTTTAAAACATCACCAAAATAGTAATTAATTTATGATAATATAATAAAAACTATTTGTTGCTTCTTGTAAATCTTTTACGATAATAAAATAGAATTAATGCTAAATTAATACGACAATATATAATTTCATAAAAATTAATATATATTAAACCGGCTGTCATTAAAGCTACGAGGGGCACTACTTATATTTTGAGCCTTGGCAACACTGAGTGTTGTCAGGTGCCATCTGACGTTTCCACTAGAAAGTTTGACATTTTTGACCATAACTTTCTTCAGAACGTTTTGTTATTTGAGCGCGATGTATTGTTTACAGTCACTTGAAAATTGTGTCTCAGCGAAAAAATGGAATTAACTCGTGAAAATTTTCGTGCAATGATTTATTACGACTTTCGACGTGGGTTATCAAGACAGGAGTGCATCGATCAACTTACTTCCACTTTTGGCGATAAAGCTCCATCCTTTGCCACTGTGAAACGCTGGTATAACGAATTTAATCGTGGTCGCCGTTCGCTTACCGACGAAAGTCGTGAAGGTTGTCCAAAATCAGTTGTTGTGTCAGAAAACATTGATGCTGTGCAAAAACTAATAATGTAAGATCGTCATGTGACATACTGTGAGATTGAGACAACCTTAGGCATTAGTTCCACCAGCATATATAAAATATTGCATGATCATTTAGCCGTGAAAAAGGTTTGTTCTCGTTGGATCTCACATAATCTGACAAAATCTCAAAAAGATGCTCGTGTCGATTGGTGCAAACAAGTGGTTCGAACGCATGCAAAAGTGTATAGATCATAAAGGAGAATATTTTGAAAAAGAATAAAGTCATTTTCAATGACAAATTACTGTTTTTTTATTATTAGGCTCAAAATATAAATAGTGCCCCTCGTATTATGGAATTATTTTCCGATAGAAAAAGTAAATATTCGACTAAGGAACTTTCTATCATGATTCTATTTTTAGATAATAATAAATCTTTTTCTAAATCGGTTTATCATTGCTATGTAATAAAAAATAAACAGTGACAATCTTCTCCAATTATTTTTGTCTAAGGCTTTGTTCTGAATTGACCTTCCGTTTGCTCGTAAGATGTAGATAGGTAGATAGATAGATAGATATCAGATACTTTTTAATAATTTTAAATATTAATTGATGAAAATGGAACTATTCCAATCGAAAATCTTCCTGAATCCATAATAACTCCGTCAGTCAATATCTGACTCGGTTAGTAGAGAATTTGCCGTATTTCGCCGATTGCCAGGATCGTGGTTGCAGTTCGTTCCAATATATTGTCCCTGTGGTTTGAGTTTGATTTGATGGGATTTCAGTCTTGCGATCGTCATTTTCCTGTAAGGCCGATTTTTTACAGAACAAATCGCTAAACATGAGCACAAAGAAGTACAGAAGTTCCACTATACTGATGAAACTAAAGCCAATGAAGATGCCGCATGTACCGCCGAATTCACCTGCAAAATGATCATCTTTATGATACGACGTCTTGATAGCAAGGGAAGATAAGACGATTTGATGAAACTGCCGCGTGTTTTCAGTGTTTATTCTTAAAAAAGTATTACGCGCACGTAGTGGCGATTTACGCTGTAAAAGAGATAGGATTTTTCCAGCAATATCACCGTCACTTTCCTTTCTTTACACACGCTTACTACCCTTTAATCAATGCTTTATGCGTGGTCTACAATGGACAGTAGCAGTAGTGGATTAAGAAGTTGGCGTAGAAATCAACCAATCATAATCGAATGTGAGGAGAATAATCAACTATGATTGATCGATTTTTACGCCTACTTCTTAATCCACTACTGCTACTGCCCATTGTAGACCACGCATTATAAATCGGATACGTAATGCTATCTTTTTTCCTAGTCGTAAGCATATATATGCATATATAAACACACACGTATATACACTTCAATCCAAAATTTTGGAAACACTTTTTAAAAATTAACATTTTTGAGATTAATTATTCAAATATCTATAATAATTCTATATAGATTCAATAATACTTATTGGACCTAAAGAATTATTGTTAAAAACAATAATTACAAGATTTGTTAAAGAAGCATTAAATAAAAGAATCTTGTTTCTATAATATAATTGATCCTATATTCTCAAAACAAATTGCGTTTTCTTCAAGGGCTCTTTTAAAAGCTTTAATCCAATAAAATGATATAAAAGTTGGGATTAAAGAATTTAAATTTAATTTCTCATTTATAAGTATAATTCCTTAACAATCTGTACTTACTTACGAGATCATACCAGTAAAAAGACATGTCTTGTTTCAATATGACTGTACCGTATCTTGAAAAGTATATGTGTACTATTCCTTCATTAGTAACATTGTAATTCGGTCTGAAATTAAGTAACAAAAATAGTTTCAGCGTCTTTTTTTTAGAAATCTTCAAAAATTTTATATTTTATACTGATAAAAATGTCGTATATTTACAATAAGTTAGTATTGAATTCACCAGGAGTCATAACAGTATTCCAAGTTAATACATCGTAACTAATGTGTTCGCAGGAAGCAAAACAATCATGACAATGTAAAACTTTTTCTTCCTTTTTAATATTGTCGTGTAATATTTCCTCGTGAGGGAGAACCGCTAACCAGATAGCTATTTCATAAAGGAAATAAAAATCAATATATCGAGTATAGATGAAGTGATAATAATTATTAACTTTGTTATGCGTAGAATTAGAAAAAGTGGTGCACCACATATACTAAAAGAGGACACGCACGCACGCACGCATGCACGCACATACACACACGTACACACATCTTTACTACGAACGAGTTAGCGGCGAGAAGAAAGAGAAACCGCGGCGCCTGTGTTTTCAGTTTCGCCATGTCATCAAAGGTTCCGCGCGAATCTTTTATCCGCGCCGAAACACGAGACCGCGCACTCTCAACCCTCTAGGGGTGCGTTCCACTTGACGCTCGCATCACCCAATTCGCTCATTGTGCCGTTTCACTTGGCGCTCACAACGTTCATCGAGTGCCATAACGATTAACTTCAGACGATTGAAATGAACGCTCGCAACGCTCGCACTGAAGAGG